ACAGAGACAAACATAGAGTTGTTTTTGACTGTGAGCCCCAATTAGCTTGTGAACACAAACAGTTTATGGCTGCTCTCGGCAATGAGCACACGGACACCAAACACTGACAACACGTAGCTTTCTGACTAAATAAAGTGAAGTTACCCTTTCTCTGGGGTTGCTCCTCTGGGACGTATGATGAAATTATAAGGGAGGTTCTCCTTGAGATTGGAGTTTTTCCGGCGACGACTTCAGAGCCCGAGTCTCTGTTGATCTCTTTAAACTCAGAAGTGCATTGCCAGCCGCCAGCCACATGCCTGTCATCTATTCCACTTTAATAAAGTCAGTCGTAGAGACGGAGAGATAAACACAATCCCTTGTTTTGATGCCCAGTGGAGAAAAGGGATCCCTCCAAATCTTTCTTTGGGGGGATGACAAACATTTTTTCACCTTTATTACCATGTCTTCCTGGACTTCACTGATCGTGTCTATGAGAGATTTTCTTAAATTTCCATATATTACATAAACTAAACATCAAGCCATTTTCATTCCCCTCTCCCACATTGCATCATATAGAGCTAGTGTATGTTATTATATTATTCAGGCCTGCTCTGTGGTGAAACTAAATTGACACTTATTACATTAAGGCAAGTTGTCATGAAATGTTCTCTGTGATCAAATTTAATGAAATATGAATAAAATATCCCAAAGCTGAATTTGAGATGCAGGAGCAGCAACCTCTGCAGAATAATGGAGCCCTGCTGTTGAAATTATGACAGCAATTTGCCCCGAGCCCAGTTTTGTACCATCAGCTTTGAATAAGAAGTGAAAATACAAACTCTCCTCTGAACAGCAGTGAAGGAGGTCTCTGTCCAGGGAAATTTGGATGCTCAAACTGGCCTTTTTCCTGTATTTGGTATCATCAAGCAGTCACAGATGGTGAGTAAACATGAGAAGGTGGTTGTCAGTTAACTTAAAGCCAGGAGGTAAATCAGTTTAAGATCTAATGCAGTTGGTTGTCGTATGTTGTCTAGTATTTCCGTGTAAGATTTATCTAGATCAGGACATCTTTAATTATTGACCAATCACAACAGAGCAAGCCAGCTAACCAATCAGAGCAGGCTGGACTCTAGTTTTAGACAGAGGCAAACAAGCAGTATGAGAAATACTTTTTGAACATTAAAGCATGGAAACATGTCACAGTAGAGGCACAACATATTGAAGGTTACAAGGATAGTCCATTATAGGCTACCATGGATGATATGGGTGATTGTAATACCAAGCAAGACCTCATTGAAAACACCTTCACATATTCCTTTTAAAGCATGATTCCTTATTGCTCTTTTCTGATTTTAGTGGTGAGCAGCCTGATATAGGTTTCAATCTCATCTGGCCTGACCCTGCTGTACTTTAGCCCACGATGTTTGTGTAATGGCCCGCAACCTGTTGACACTTTTATCACCAATAGATTTTTTGAAGGAAGTAGTCGCCATATGCACCATTGGTTCACACTTTGCCGGGCATGATTTATTGGCTCCTGTGAAAGAAGTCAATGGCTAAATTAGCACTCTGTCTGCAGGCGAAATTCCATTTATGAGTGCTGCTGGACAGAAGTGGATATATCCTTGTAGTAGTTATGGAAGTGGTCTGTCAAGAAACTCTGGTTCTCTGAATTTAAATGATTTCATTTATAAGCAGGAATTGATCATCAAGCTAGAGCCAGCACTGTAATCTACAATTTTCGAAATGTCTTTGCCGACATTAAAAATGCAAAGAGTGCAGAAATGGGCCAACAGAGCGATTGTTCCCCTCCACCCTGCTGTGATGTTTTCTCCTGTTCATATTTGTCACCTTGAATTATGGGATTCATAATGGTACAGTGTAGCAACTGATTAACTAGCTATTTCAGCAGGATCTTTGAAACCTTATCTAATTACAGGCCTGATATTTACAGCGGGAAGGAAAGATGGCTCTCATCAAGAGTTTGGTGTGCAATCAGCAGCGGCTTTCTAATTAGAAATGTATTCGCTAGCTCTGGTTTGATTAGAGGTGGCCTGAGGACCTCCTTCGTCCGACTTGTTTAATGACTTCTTTCTGTTAATGGTAGTGTGTTTACTATACCTCTCTTTTTCAATATAAATATGTACCTTTTGGGGCTGTTTTCATTGGGAAATGCTCACGGGTTGGCTAAAACCAAGTTTCAGGGTCAGTTAGGTAACACAAAAAGTTTCCCCACTGCACGTATACCCATAATGCACTGCAGGTTTACAGGCTGTCTGCTCAAGTCTTATCTCCCAGCAGGGATTTCTGATGGTTGCCCAGTGCAGGATTAGCAGTGCCAGAACAGTAATTAATCATGTCACAAACAGACAACCAATCAATGAAAATAACGGTTGCAAAGTGTAATGTTTTAAATAAGGAGATGATTGATTGTTTCTACATTTGGGTCACATTGAAAGGAGAGGATATTCAGCTCTCGTCTGCACTTCAAAAAGCTGTGTCCTAATTCTGGACTGCACCAGTATAATGTGTTTATAACAAAATCCTTCTTTTTTTTTATATTTGCATGGGAACATTATGTAAATCATAATGTAGCCTATCAAGTAGAAGTAGGGCAGGGTAATGAAAAATAATTCACTGTGATTATACGGTATCTATGTGTATTTTGATATCAGTTAATACGAGTAAAAACTTTAGAACAAGATAAATTAGGTCACTATCTCACTAGGCTTAAAGATTCCCTTAATTTAAAAAAGCTCATTAGTACATTTGGAATCTATTTAGATGAGTGAATTATGTAAAAAAATAACATAATTCAATCTTATCTTTGCCATTGTCGACCAATATAACTTCTAACAGTATATTGAGGATTCTAGTTGCCCTATTTAGGACATTTTATAATAATCGCCCCAATTATATGTATCAGCAGTGATATTACAAAATCACAATGACTCTCAATCAAATCAGCAGTTACAATCATTGGTTGATATGAAAAGTCATCTTAGTCTGAAGACTTAGTGGATGTTACCCATCTACGCTTTGAATAACCCTGTAAGAGAGTGTGTTCAAGTTTTATATATATATATAGACATTTTTATTCATTGGGATAAACCCCTTTAGATGCACCATCTCATTTTCAAGGGGGTCCCGACAATAGCAGCAACTTACAGACATAAACAAAAAGACAAAATGCAAAACATGACACACAAGACAAACCACATACAGTCTGTTAAGTGAAATTCAAGCAATGCACACAACCATTACAATTTGAGACAGTCGAGCAAATCAGTTTCATCAATATCAGTTATAACAAGTACAGACCAGTTGAAAGTGAGATAACAATGCATGTTTAAATATACTCAATGATGCAAGAGATCTAATAGCAGCAGGTAAAGTATTCCAGTCAGTTGGGGCTTTATTTTGACCTGAGTGGATGCGATGTATTACATATTTAAACACATATTGAAGATTTTGCCGGTAAACAATTTAAATCCAATGTGACTACTGACTGCTGCTCCTATTTGTCCGTGCTTTGTCATAATTCATTTATTCACTACTCATCTTGAAACACATCATTAAACATTCTTTATTAATACATTTGACTAATACACCTGACCTGGCTGATTTTCCCTCTGTGTGTACGTTGAGTTGTTTGATGTTGTGGGAGAACTTGCCAGACCTTTATTATACCCGACAGCGACAGATACCTCAAATGAGCATTCAGTAGAAACTGACCCAGCTTTCTAGTTGGGTTTTAATTGTGATTCTGGTGTCATTTTACATATGTGTTGCACTTAGCACACGGATGTTAATATAATTTCTGCTTATCCATACTGTGAAGATATTAATTACTGTGGGAGGGAAACACATTACCTCCATACAAACAGAACATGCATTATGTATTTGCTGTATGTGTATCTTTTGTTCTCCAAAGTGTCGCATAAATCATGTTTGAGACGAGACCGAGTTGGGATTCAAAGGTTGTGTTCACAGCTTATTGATGTGCATCGACAAATATGAAACACAAAAAAAAACACTAGTACGTAACATGCACATTAGATTGTTCTGTTATGTTCAGTTGTGACACTTCCCTGAGGAAAAAAAAGTTTAAAAGAAAAAGATTCTTAACATGTTTTATTCATGAGTGGAAATGAAGTTGTTTAAATTATCATGATGCCATTGCGCCCTAGTTTGGAAATCCAGTATTGTAATATCTATTTATACTTTACTACAAAACCAGCTGAGAAATTGACATGAAAGTCTTAATCCTCTTGGTTTCAATTATGGCCCTTATTCCCCTCTCTCCTGGTAAGAAAGAGCCAGAGCGTCTTGTAAGGAATTCCCCAAAACTTGAATCTTGAAAGAGGAATCTCCTTAATGATTGCTTAGGTACAGCCAGGCCTTAGATGGAATATCCAATAATGTATATGAGACCCAAATATTGTGAAACTGAAACCTCGGCGCTCTGCAGTGCATTATTGCCACAAAGGTTACTGCTATAAAATGGGTGGCTGTGGCTCAGTGGGTAGTGTCCCTGGTCAAGACATTGTCCACAGTAATAAGTATGTAAGTTGCTTTGGATGAAGCGTCTAACAAATGACATGTAATGTAATGTAATAATAAAAAGCACATATTTGATGGCCTTGATGAAGATTATATTAAAGTGTATCAGTGTGTGTATACGGAGAGATAAGGCTCCAACAATTGAGAAATGCCAGTCAAAATGTCTAATATTCCAAGGTAACAATTGACTTGTGTTTGTAAGTCCAAAACTAAGAGATATTCAATTTACATTCATATACAGAAGTTCATTACATTTGAGAAGATACAAAGTAGATAATGTTCGATATTTTAATTAAAAATGTGTTACTATGGAAATCATAGTGTTCTCTCCGTGCATTACTCATGCAGCCTTTGTACATCAGTGCACGGTGTTCTTTGAATCACACTAACAACAACTCAAATAAATTATTTTTCAACGCTCAACCTCTGTATTCACACACTCTTTCTCTGGTTTGCAGCTTCACTCTAACTCGGATAAAGGCGATGGATCCGTCAGGTACATTCTGAGCGGGGATGGAGCTGGGAATATATTTGTTATCGACGAAGTGACGGGGGATATTTCCGCCACCAAAAGCTTGGATCGAGAAAGTAAATCACATTATGTCCTGCATGCACAAGCCTTGGACCGCAACACCGAGGAGGCGCTGGAACCAAAGTCGGAATTCATCATCAAAGTACAAGACATCAATGACAATGCACCAACATTTCCAGATGGACCCGTTGTGGCTACGGTGCCGGAGATGTCTGAATTGGGTGAGTACTGCTAAAAAAATGTATTGTGATTGTCAGAAGCAGGAAGCCTGGGTTGGATGGGTTGAAAGAAAAACGTTGGAACTTGAGTGTTATTTTGTGATGTTTCTAATCCCTTTTATCCTTGAGGTACAGACAAGACTTTTATGGCAAGACCTTTGGCGAATGTACCCATGTTATATACACACGACTTAGTGTTGAACCAAGAATGTAGTAGTAGGAAGAGCTGTGATCAAACATGTTATTACCCTGTGCACTATTCTGGTTTGTCCCCTCTTTGATAATGTTCTCCGGAAGGCTTGATCTTCTGTAAGCCAGCCGAGTCCTCTTTTTCATCTTTGTTTGCTGGTTGCTGTGATGGTTTCCCGGGTGGGCAGGTCTTTATAAAGCACTCTATAGTGCCTCCACAGCAATCCCCGCCATCGAGACTATGGAGTCCTCCACATCATAGAGGAGAGAAAAGCCTTTCTCCACCTCCTCTGAGACAGCTTCTCTTCGTAAGCCCAGCATCATGTGGCAAACATCTATTTTTTATTTCTTTATTGTACCGTTCTGTTTTTAGCCGTGTGAACAAAAGCTCACCCTGTTCTCAGTCCAGTGGATTGTGCCTCTCAGGACAATGTCTCCGAACATATGGACGTTGTGACCAATCATAAATGCTAGCCAAACTGCTGTCAGAGCAATTTTTGCTTCTTCCGATATACCGTATAATTTGTAACATTGACGCTATGGTGAAAACATTCCATTCATATCTGTCCGTCTTAAATAATCCCTCTAGCTGCTGAAAGGATGCAGAGCTACTTATTAAAATATATAAGAGGAAACAGCTTCATCAGCTTCTTGCAGCAAGATGGAAATGTGCAAAAGCGATTAAATATGCAAACCCCAATAGACCTGTAGGCGCCCTCTTTATAAACAGTCAATAGCTCCCTGGTTGAATTCATGAATATTCATGAGCAGAAAAAAGCCTTAGCCACATGCAACTTTGCTACTCTGTGTATTTGTTACTAAATTGGATGTGTCAAGTACATGTCTTAATCTCTTCAGAGTGCTACACTGTATGTCCTGACACTTTCTACGTGGAATAATAACTATTGGCACATACTGAATATGTGTGTAGGTCTAAAGCTACTGCTGCAGCTGAAAAAGTTCCAATGTTGTCTGCAAACTTCATCATCAGTTGCACACAAAGAATCAATCACCATTGAAGACCCAAGGGAGGAAATCAAGGACTGTGAAGGGGAAAATAATTAGCCCTTTCTTCCCGCCCCCTCTTTTGCTCTTGTCCATTAAAGTAATTCCTCTTTGGTTCAGCATCTGCAGCGTCAAATCGGCTGTAACAATCAACTGTCCTCACACTCCAGAGCACTAATCCCCCAGCATTTGTCAATACTGGTGCTCCGAAGTGCAGAAAGGGCTGTCTGGGAGTGTGGCAACTAATTGGTTGCGTTGTTCCTCTTTCCTGTCTAAATTGATTAGCTGGGCACGTGCCAGGAACTCAACGTTACCGTTACATATCTCCTATTCAAAAGTACAATAATATTTTCTAGAGTGCTAGATAAAAGGAGTATCAATTTCTATCTACTGTACAGTATATCTCCCAGTTGAGAAGTCTCTACATGGACATAATGGAGATGGTATCACTGCTTTTCCTGTCAACCAATTCACTTCTGGGAAAACATCTTGTTGATTGTGGTTTCAAAAACCCGGAGGCAGAGGCGGGTGCTTGTTTAGACGAGAGGTTATGATTAAATGAGTGTTATCGGAACTAATGCACCGAAATGGAGCGGAATAGCACATATGAGTAGGTATAAAACTGTTTATTGACAAATCCAAAGGCATTTAGGATCGCATAAGGCTTGAACAGGTACTTTTTTTGCCCTATTTGCTGGTGTTTGCTGAGATCCATCATAAAACCCATATCATTATCAAATCAGTTTTCATAGTTGTTGGCAGTCCTTGCTGAACACACACACCTGGCTGTGTATCAACATCCATCTTACTTCAACCCAATGAGCCTCATTCAACACCTTGTTGACTAATTGCTGCTTCATTGCAGCACACATCAAGTACATGTTCTTTTTAGTTTTATTCCTGCAATTGGGGATGACCCGAGGCTCGCCGAGGCATGATGAAAAGAACCTCCCGGTGGTTATCCGCCTTCAGAAACCTTGATCTTTATTAAGTATATATCCTGTGGTCACGGCAATCAACTCAGTGAGGTCCTCAGATACAGATAAATTGAAGTAGATGATGACATTTTTGTAAAAAAAGGGAAACAGTATGTGACTGGGTTCAACATTCAATGTCTTTTCGAGTGAAGTAGACTATAGAACCTGCACATTACATGTCTGGTGCTTTCAGAACCGGGCAACATATCTAATATGAATCAAACCAACAGAATTGCATCGTGAATGCGAGACTATTCTATAGCGAATACAATGTGCAATCAAAAATTACTGTATTATGGTAAGTGAGGGCGAAAAACTATTGCCACTTTTAATGCTGCTCTTATCCCTTCTAAAGCTTTACATATATTATACTTCAACACTTACATTGAGTAAATTGAGAGCAATTGAAAGCACATTATGCCGTCCTTTTTGAGTGCAAAGTGAGTGCACTATCAGTTAGATTATGTAATGATCTGGATCTGTTTCTACAATTTGAAAACCTGGAAGATGATAATATATAGTGATAAGTTGTATAGAACAGGGGTTCCCAACCTTTATTGTGCCAATGACCGGCAGATACATTAAAACAAATGTGCGGACCGGTTGTCAATTTTAACTGATTTGAATATTTACTCACCAGGTGGCAACAGAGGCTAATTGTATTTAACAGCCTGAAGAAATACCAATATGCATCCAAAACATATTAACATTTCAAACCAGGAAACAATTAAAACAAAAAATTAGGACCGCTTTACAAATATTAATATAATATACAATATAATATAGCCTAATATAGGTGGCAACAGTGGCTAATTGTATGTAACAGCCTGAACAAATAATAGAACAATATGCATCCAAAACATATTAACAAAGTTTAAAACCAGGATACAATTAAAACAAATTAGGACCACTGTACACATATTGATAGAACTGAAATGTCAGTTAGACCCCTGGGCTTGTTTGCCAGCCATAATAACCTATGGAGTTGGCCAGATTTGTGTAAATTACTGTTCATGGTAATTTGAAAACAAATGCCGTTGTTGGACACACACAAACACACCAAACATAACATTTTTTATGCAGCCATTTCATGAAGAGAAGGAGGTTTTACAAATAAAAAAATAGCTTTACACCCCTGGCCGCAATGTCCTTAAAATGAAGTCCGAGTTCGAAATATAGCTCAAATAATGTATGCACTGCCATTTCCCCACATAAACATAACAGTCTGCGATGAAACGGTTGTCTCCTGTGTGCTCCACTTCCTATTGGCGCACTGGTAACTTTCTCTGCGCACGAGAGACTGAGACCTTATGCTAACCAATTTTGATTTATTTTGTATGTTTTGGATGAAATAATATGACTGGTATAGGTGCAAAAAATAAATAAAAAATGTCCGCAAATATTACGATAAACTCAGCTATTTCGCGGCCCGGCAGTAACACCTCCGCGGCCCGGTATCGGTCCGCGGACCGGGGGTTGGGAACCCATGGTATATAGAACATTTTGTGTTATGTCTGTGCTTTATATAAACATGGTATCATACAAGGTCACAAATGATCATGCTCTAATAATACTTATGCAAATAAGGAACAGAACATTAAGGTTCATTCTAATTAATATTACTAAGCCATTTTTTCCCCCAAAAAGGTGATTTGAACGACCCAACTCTTCAAAGCAATCCCAGATTTAAGTCAAAACAGTTCCAACCGCATATTATGGGCTGCAAGTGACAGACTCAACGTGGAGACATGGTATCATTAAGTCTTTCACGCTGCTCCTTTTAGGTTCAAGAAAAATAAATCAGGTCATATCTGTTGCCGACACGATGGAATCTCACTCTTAATGTCATTTCTAGTCAAGAGGTTTGTGTCCATACATTTAACGGCCTAGTAACCAGTACGATATACTATCATGGTCTCTACATAGTCATACTGTTACGTCTGAGTGAAGGAGCAGGCCAAAGTGCAGATAGGTCTGATTAACCTTCTATTATCAAGATAAGAATAACCTGACAAAAAACAGAACACTCACCGTGCATCAGTCACCACACAAAGACAACAACACTTGAACACATGAAGAGACGAGACTTAAATACAGGGAAGGGTAATCACGAGACGAGAACAGCACGGCAGGGGAGGAACAAACACCACACCAGGGAAACTAACGACAGGGAGGAAACACAGGGAGAGGGACCAGACAATAAACAAGGAGGAAAACACCCATAACCAGACATACAAAACTACAAACGTGACATATCATAAGAATCCTGACACATACTTGAATTCTTACACATAATCATGCATTAGATAAGCTGATAAGGCAATTACAATGCACTCATCATGCAATGGTAATGGGTTAATGAAGCATGCAAGGTTGTTTAAGTAAATGTCAATTGTTGTATTGAAGCCTAAATGCTTTTACACAGATGTATTTGAATAAGAGTTATACATGAGTCCTCTCTCTTAGTTCTCAAATCAGCTGTCTTGGTTTTTGAAATCTCTTGCAATGAAAAACCACTTGAAAATTCAATATGTGGATTGTAACTCATGTCTCCCTTTGAAGGTTTGACAGCTGAATAATGTCCACTTTCCTGTCACATGAATCACACTTAATAAGTGCATATATGACTTATCAATCATGAACACCAAAAAAACTATCTTTAACCACAATATTTTCCCATTATTATCTTTCTTAAAGAGATTATTTGGCATCATATCTTGTCAGTCTTTGTGATAAATATGCATGTGTGTTGGTTTGCCAATTGTTTCTCTGGGTTGTATGAGGACTTTCTATTTATTTATTTATTTTGTGTTAAGTATTTAGTTTATTGTCCTTCTGTAACATGTTTATTATTTGGCCCACAGTAATCCTCATTTGCTTTAAATGTACCAGACCTGGTTATTTTCAAGAAGGAACCATTACACATTCAATCACATCAATGTACCGTAATTCTCTTGCAGCAGTATGTGCTAAAAACGTCTACTTTGATGAACATGTATTTTCTCCTGGAATTGTTATGTTTTGTGTTTCATGTGAAACCAAAAGTCCACCTTGTTATTATTTTAATTTACGTCCGTAGTTTAAATACTGTGACAAACCTAACCCTAGGCCAAACCATGATCTTTTTTCTTAACTACAAAAAAGTCGTGCTGGTTCCCAACGTTTAAAACTGTTACCATTATCCCGGAGATAATCTATTTCCCTCAAAGCATAATTGGCAGTGCAGTTTAGAGTGCTATTCTGTAGGAAAAAGGGTTGTTAACATTTGAAAAGCATTTAAGAGGGTCAGTAAATGCCATGAAATAACTATGCTGTGTTCTTTTTTTTAAAGGCACTTCGGTGTTGCAAGTAACTGCGTCTGATGCTGACGATCCCACCTACGGAAACAGTGCCAGAATAGTCTACAGTGTTCTACAAGGACAGCCATATTTCTCCATCGACCCCAAGACAGGTGTGGTATAACTGCATGCTTAGACAAAGTCAACCTCCATGCTCTTGAAAGCATGGTAACCATAACTATAAATGGCTGCAATAACGTTGTTCTTCAGGCTATTGTTGGTCTCCTAAAGTGATGTGTGTATCATGCTGTAAAAAATGTGTACCGACGCTTCTCTCAGTGGACATCCTGTTCTGTTATTGAAGCAGGTCTGACATCATAAAAGCTAAAGCAGCCGCAGTAGAGTTATGGGCTACTCATGAGACGGTTATATTGTTGAACACGCAACGCACTCTTTGTGGGCCATAACTAACTCCTCAGGGGTCAGAGAAGACATTTGTAGAGATGCCTTCAGAAAGCCATTGTTTTTAAAGGAGGGGAAAAAAGCGGCAGAAGCACGGCATGCAGTGCTCAGTGTTTTTAAAGTTCATCTATTGTCTGAGGGGGCCACTGCTGGAATCTATTAAATCTTTATAAAGAGTCTAAAGTGCATGGGATATAACATGTATACTGTATGATGTGTTGTTGTGAGTGTGTGCAGGTCGGTTTATTTCTGATGTCTCTTCATCTTAAAAAAGATGCGATAGTGATTCTGAAGTCTTGCATGTTTTCCCTTGCTGCCGGTTAACCTGAACAATTCACTTGTAACAATTGATTCATTGGAGTCTGGAACAACTCCTGGCCCCTTTGAGACCATGCCGCCCATGTAAAACATGAATTCTTTGCTGAATGAGCAACACAAATGAATTGCTGAATATTTTGAGTTTGCCTCGAGGGGGAAAGGCAGTGGGGATTGATGAAGCAATTTCACAGCAGTGTGGTGAGGCAGAAGCAATGCCAATTTTTGAACGAAAGCAGGTTTTTCTCACGCCACGCAACATGTTTTCTCCAATCGACTGTATATTATTTCAGTTTAAATCTATTAACATCACCTTTTAACCGCAAAAGTGATTATGCTGCAGTCATTTTCTTTCCGTTTTCCACATGCAGCGCGCCTTTGGACACGTCAGATGGCTTGTTTTGCTTGAGCTGACTCTGCATCCTGTCTGCATTGTAATTCAGTGGGGGGCGTGCAGAGGAGTAGGGGCGGTGATCGAAAGCCTAGCCAGCTGCACTCTGCACAACACCATTCCACCCACAAGTAATCATTTATACAAGTCGGCTGTTGTTTTCGCTACTGGCAAAGCAGCCTCCTCCCTGGAATTAGGACAAGGAACTCCTGCGGTCGGTGGAAACGGCGCACATGGAGGAAGCTGCACTTGCATGTGATCCTTAATATGCAAAGTCTTAACGCAGTTGTGTTGGCCCTCTGCCCAGTTGAGCTGAACACTGGGGAGCTGAAGCTGCTCCTGCATCTGTCTCACAGAGCATTAGCTTACTTACACCTCCTTATATCCACATTTACCTGGCTCCCAGCACGCTAAAACTGCGGAGACACCATCTTGGGGAATTAATGTATTATTAAACACCAGTTTGCTAACACACACACACACGGACAAATCCTCGACCTTGGTGTGGTGCCCTGATATAACAAGGGACAGATTCTATTAGAGATATCCATGAGGTAAAAGGATGGTTTAAGGACAGGTGGTCATGATAGCATTTGGCACATACGGTGCAGGAGGAATCCCCAAAGGACCGTCTCAGACTTGACCCAAATCCTCAGCGAGCAGTTGTACCTGTTTGCCCCTGGATAAGTGGTTCGGATTACATCATCTCAAACCCATCAGATACCAATATGACAGGCCTGTCTGACTGTTCAGACATGTTATTGAATGGTCCATTGACCACAGTTATAGTACTGTATATCTCATCCTGATACATCCAATACTCCTTTAAGTATTTGAATTACATTATGCCATAAATACTGCATGGCTAATTTGATACTAAATACCCTGTCTCGTCATTTAAAAGAAAAATTGCAGTTGACTTTACAGTGAAAAATCACATGGAATAAGCATTTGAAATTGTCTTTCTTAGCAATATTAGAATCAAACAGCCCATGACCATACCACTTATGCTGCTTATCCTAAAGAGCCATATCAATGAAACTAAGATTATTATTATTATTATTATCTGCTCAGTGTTGTGTTATCTACATCATTTAAACAAAATGCCCACAGACAATATCAGCAGACGGTAGCAGACAGTTTTTTCAAAGCTCTTTCAGACGCTGACCGGGCCCTTTTAAATCTAGAGGAATCACGGTTGGACAATTGCCCAAGGTATTTGGTTTTCACATTGGGACAACTGATAGTTTCCAGGTTGATTTGCCTCACACAAGACACCAAAACACTTTAAAATACTTTAACCAAACCAGAGGCAAATCCCAGTGGACATTCTGTATTTTCAACCCTAACTAAGACGAACATGCCCATAGCTGAAAATAACTCTGAGGTCATATTTCTTAACAGACTAATTAACTCAGGGAACAGCATTAAGGCAGCTCATAGTCTCCGCTCGAAATAAGACCCAATGATGGATGTAAACTTGTAATTGATGCATCTACGCTTGTGTCATGCACCATGCATACGGGGAGAGATATGAATTTAGGATTAGATTTACTTGGCTGCAGAAATAAATGAGCATGACACAGACTTTGTAAATACAGAAATATAACTGATACAACTGATAATGGAAGGCCTAGGGGGGAAATGTGGGAAGAGGAAAACAAATGTGCCAGTGTTGCACTGCCAACATGGCCTAACAGTTATTTTTCATTAATAATGTTTCCAAAGTTGTATGTGTGATTGAAATTTGAATGATAAGATTGTTGCTAGCCATATTAGGTGCAATTCCATAGAGTAATTGTGTAATAATTGATTATGTTAGATATACATTTCTATCATAAGAAATCCAATTGACCTGGCAATCCCACGCAATATTCACACATATTACACTAAAACATGTCATGCAAACCTTTGCCACCATGTGCAGATTTGTGCAAATTCAAATAAGAGTGTTCCATATGAACCAGTGAAATGTAATTCAGAGGTGTTTCCTATTGAAGCACACTGATTTGCAGGTTTTTCTTCTAATTGCACACTACAGCATGAAGGCCACTACTTATAACACATTCAAAGAGTGAAGAGCCTAATCAGTGAAATAACATGGTGCAGTCTGTGGCTGGGGTATACAATGTTCAGACTTGTTATTCAGTTACAATTGTTGCACTCCCTTTCTACCCAGAGTTAATGTTGTCGGCATTTTACAAAGCAAATCTCTAATAAAATGGAATAATTAATATAATCAACTAAATAGATTGTAATATTTGGGTAAAACATTTGGGCAATGTCCTTTATTGTTTTGTTGCAGAGACTAAGTTGAGAATATTCTCTTACTTAACACAATTAAAATACAAAGCTAGCAGGCAACTAGCTTAGCCTAGCACGAAGAAAACAAATCAGAGATGGTATGAATCTTCTCGCAACATTTGCACAAAAGATAAATATGTTTAATTTCCAATATCTCTAACTATTCCTTTATATTATCAACATGTGTTGATTTTTACAAAGATGCTCAATGTTGACAGAATTTTCTCACAGGCTAGATTAGATTATGTTAATGTTTTGCACTTTTGCAGTAATGTTGGTCAATAGCTAGAGCGGATGAACAGCATATTAGACTAGCTAACTGAACCTGAATGTTGCCTGGATTTGACTGGATCGGAAAGCTTTGCTATTCCCAGCATGCGCTTACAAAAATGGAGTACCAGACTAGTTAGACATGACATGCTAACTGTAATGAGCCTTCTCTGTAATGGATTGACTTGATTACAAGATTTGCAAATCTCTAAAGTGCAAGCCAGCAAGAGGTTCCACATATCTCATCAGAACTACCTCCTAGATGTTCTTCATTAATCTTTTTTATAGTCTGATCTTATAGCTCCTGTCTTTAAAATCGCTACTGTGCATCTGTCACTTACACACAGAGACGTCAGGTTGTTCCTCTTGAGTGTTATGGGCGATATGTTCCCCACAACCCTACCCTATCAGCACTCGCTCACACACACATGCAAAGACACACCACACTGCAGAGGTCCCTCTTGCATTCTAAATGGGCTAATTTCTCTGCTGATCTGGGATTTGGGATTTTTTTTGAAGGAGCTGACACAGATCAAGACGTTCATGGATTAAGTCTTACCTCTGCTTAAATCAAGGGAAAAGCTGACACTTTGGCAATGTACTCTTGAGGAGAACAATCAATTATTCTCAGTTGGATATTTGATCCAAACAGAACAATCTTTTTTCAAATAAAAAGGACTACTTTTATGATTTCTTTGAATTGTAAAGCTGCTCTCGTTGGTGTTATCTACCTTTTCTACGGAAGTGCAGACACACAGGGATAACATCCTATTGGATGAGCCAAAAACCAAGATTCCTGAAGCTAGAGATTGAAGAGCGCTTCAGTAATCTCCTATAATCCTTTTTGTTCGCTCAGGAGATTGTCCTTCTTTAGAAGTTTCCAGCCAGACAAAGAGCTGGATAGTGTGATGGTATCAACTCTAATAGACTGGGGAGGGTGAGGAGGAGGCTAGCCACCTTACTCTGTCAAATGGGTGCAGGTTCAAGGAACTCAGCTCTCTCTCAATTATTTTCTAAATTAACTGACAAGCTCTATAGAGATTTAGCCGAGACTATCTGAGGTATTACGGCTGAGGAGTGGTCAGGAAAGGGAGTTCAGGGGTTTGATCCTCGTGTCAAAGCACTGACATACCGTTCAGATACTCGCCAAAGAATACCCTTGGGGCCATTTCTGTATTTTAAATCAATTTCTGTGCACCTGTGAATGGGTTTCCCCCCAAACCCTAACCTGTTGTCTTTGTTTTTGAATTGTCCGAAACAGCAGAGTATTTGTTTGTTTGATGACTGCAGTAGACAACAGTGTAGACAATTCCCAAAGCCAAAAAATAAAAACTAATACTTTTAGTGTGTGCTCATTGGTCCCTAAAACGGACTGCTGTGAAATATTGCTCTGGAGCAATGCGCCTTTATGAGTACAGGGGTAATAAGAGACTTGAAAGGTCAGATCCTCTGTCTTGATGTTGTTTGAATGGAAAGTGTAGCCATCTTCCAAGGTCTGTATGTTTCAAAGACCCCAGGTTAAGTAATGCTACTGTAAGACTCAAGTTAATAACAAAGTACTTCCAATAGAGTTTGCAGAGCCTGTATCATTAAAGGGAAGTGGCTGCGAGCACTTTGATTAGTTTTAAAAAGACAGAAACACAGTGGCTCCATGCTGAGACCTGACATTTGAAAAGAACAGCATAGCAAATGGCAATGCTCGTGTTGAGATCTTGGGAATATTTTATGACATATGTTGAGTTTCGGAAATAGAATGTTTCTATGGGAACGTAATAGAAAAATAATAATAGGACTAATTTTACATTGTGTGTTTTTTGCAGGCTTTTTGTTCATTTTTCTATTTGGGCCACTTGGAATAAGATGGTTATTATGTCTATAATATATGTTGAAGCTGTCAAAGAGACAGCTTTTTGAGGTGTAGTCGATGACTACTAAAATCAGTCTTGAATGCCCGATGACATATTGGTGTCTTTTATTTATTCGCGTTAAACTCGTCGTTCTGGCATTTCAAACGGAGAGGGCAGCATGTTAATCTGTCCCGTCAACTCGGGCAGAGTTCAAACTGAGAACAGTGTCACTGTGTGCTTAGCATTTGAAAGGCTGGATGTTCCAAAGTATGATTCAGCACCGCCTCACAGGTCAGGATGCTCCTATTTCATAAGGCTAATCATTCAACTAGACCTAGAGTTCTAATATAATACCACTAAGATTGCTTTTAAATCAAGACATTTTTCAAATTGAAGAATTAAATTAATACATTGGAACAACATGAACAATGAGTAGTAATGGGTTAATGTAACAGTATTACGTAATCAGGTCATACAAATATTGAATGACTTTATTGTTATGTTTCTAAAAATGTGGGATTACTAGCAGAATTACAATGTTACAATACATTTAAAAAGGTAGAACAAAATACTTGACACGACAATTCATAAGTCCTAAAACACCAATAATACCACTAATTACAAAAAGTATTATTACTTTTTTGGTATTTTTGTTTGCATTGCATTTTAAATAAAGAGAATCCATAAATACCAGAAAGTAATCAGTTATTTTTACATTGTGATGCTTAGGTTACATTACATTACATTTTATTAAAGGTGATTGTAACTAAAACCATTTAAAGTAAACCTCCCAACCCTGAACATAATAATGCAGCTGTTATAAAACATTGTTAAATAGTGCCAGGGAATGATCTACCTGGCAGTCAAAGTAAATGTATTTGCTTTTATATTTCTGTGAATTTAGCCGTGCAAAATATTTCTGTGTTTGTGTGTAGCTTGTTGCCCCACTTAACGCTTGTTCTTTTATAGGCAGAACTAACACACATGAAATCACAGCACACGAGCAGGAGACACTGCCAGAGTCGATACATCTAACACACTGAATCCCCGCAATCTGCTTGAAAGTACCTTCCAAAGAAGTGGCTAAATCATGTTTTGCTTTATCTCAAACAATCCAAGAGAGGAATTTACACACAGTGTACTGACATTTTACATTTAAAAACTCTGTTTGAACCAGTCAACTGATTCTGTCTTTTTCATGAAAAAGTCTAGATGCATCATCCACTAGAAAAATACGAGCAAGAGGAATCAATAGGTTAGAGTTTATTCACAACGCTGTGGATGCTGCGGCAGAGAAACTATTCACAGACCATTCATAGAAGCTTCATCGCCATGTCAACTTTATTTTTTAAAGGTTACATTCTGGTGATTACGAAATTGTCTGACATTAGGTCAACGCTCAAATACAATTTTCAGCAGTACACTGACTCCCTGTTCAAACACTTCTGCTCATATAACTCTTCTTCGTCTATAATGCCTAAATATATTTTCAATGCTGGTCTGTCATGCTACTATATGTCATATTTTTTCCATTTTTCTTGATTCTCTCCTGATGAGTTCAGGTCCATTAGAGGTGTATGGGACCTGAGCCCCAGCTCAGTGTGACAGATGATGTGTAACCTAAGATCCCCTGGATCTTAATACTGTTGGCTGCTTTGCTCCTTGACCCACTTGGAATGATTATTCTGTCTTAGGCGAGTGGATTAGTTTCTGTCTATAGAGTCTGGAAGAAAGAAAGAGGAAATTGACCTATTGTAAAAGCACAGCCTTTAGCTGCCTCCTTGGCAGATTTAGGAAATCATATAACTCCATTTAGTCGCTCCAAAATGTATTTTTTTGTGAAAGTCAATCTGTTAAAGTATTACTTTTTTAAATGCAATACTAAGTTATCTATACTAAGGAAACTTAAAAGACCATTGACATAACTGTAAAGTGAAGATCTGTCCTCAGTCACATGATCAGTTACCTTGAGTGTACAGTATTAATTAAACATCTGGTGAAATATCACACTTAATTGGCAGCACATAGTAATTGACTATGAATGCTAGTATGTTATTTCAAACACAGCATGAGTTTTTGAAGCACTTATGTGATATGGTATCAAAATTTTTTAGGATTTTGATGTAACTGATTACCGAAAGAGTGGCCTTTTAACAGAAACTTTTATTTTTTGCCAACCAGGACAAAGTACTCAAACATTTGTCAACACCAATTTCAGTCCAATCGTCTCACTTCCCGGGAGTAGATTGAGAATACCCAGTGGGAGTGGAGCAAGAAAACAACCACACCCAATTTGGTGTAAATAATGGTCAAAATGAGAGTTTTCTCCTGGCTATAGTGATGTTACTGATGCCTTGCTTCATTCTCCAAAGCCATTTTATGAAACGTCGCTTGCTGTTGTGATTTCCACTCGCAACATGAGGTAACAGAAGTCCATTTCAACCATCTTGATCAACACCATTCCATTTCCTCCCAGGTCTCACCGCTCACCGCCAGTCTTTGTGTATTATTGCAGGGTTCACAAGTTCACAAGCACACAAGTTCAATGGTTGCCACAGGGTTTTATCCCCGGGGGAAAAACGATATTTACACAGAACACTGATGTAACTGGTAGAACATATTAAATCAGGCCCCATGTGGTGCTGTGTTTTCAGGAGCTTAGATGGTGAATTAACCCTCGAGCACACCCTAAAAACAAATATAGACAAACAGCAACGTTAACATGTCACAGAAAGACATACAGACAAATAAATGTGCAACACTTGCAGCTATTACATTCAATAAATAACCCAAACGAGAAAAATGCCGTACTTGGCTTGTTATTGTGTTGCAATTTACTTCTGTACAGTTTCCAAAACATGGCCAGAGCTGCAGTAATATATCTCTGAGTTAGCATTGTGAAAGTTCATGGTTGTGTTATTGTAGTAATAAATGTGATTGAGGGGGCGCCTTAGAAAGTTACATTCTGCCCCGATCCAAGGTTGCATAGTCATTTCAGATATAAGCAAAAGTGGTGAAAGGCTAACCTTGGCATTGAAAATGCGGGATAACCAAAGATGGAAGAAGACGCAGACTTTTATGGTGTTAGTGTTTAAAGGAAAGTGGTGCTGTAAGAGAAGACTATAACCGGAAAAAAAAGGTTTTAGGGGGTAACATATTAGTACAATAACAGAAACATCTTGAGAACAGTAACATTGTTATATTCACTCTCAGAGCTTCTTGTAGAAAAGGTTTTTCATCTGTTTTTGTCTTTTTGTTTCTCAAAGTACCCAACTATATATTTACAGGATATGTATTTTCCTCACTGTCGTCTGCAAAGTAGTTATTATCTTTCGCGATGCCATGAAAGACCTGATTCTAATTTAAACTCAAATGGTTTGTTTTTCTCCCCCATGCAGGGATCATCAGGACGGCCTTATCTGAGATGGACCGGGAAGCCAGAGAACACTACACCGTCGTTATCCAAGCCAAAGACATGGCGGGCCAGGTGGGGGGGCTCTCCGGCTCCACCACCATCAACATCACACTGACGGATGTGAACGACAACCCACCAATGTTCCCCCAAAGTGGGTATACTTTTTCTTTACTTAAAAACAACAGCTTAGCTAACAAAACACAAACTGTAGTTCACATTTGTACAGAACAAAAAAGCAACAGTTAATTGAATTATAATTCGGCTACACTGTGTTTGACCCTAGCCTCTATTTAAAGACCCTGAGAAAGAAATGTGGTGCCAGAAGGCTCATTCGGGAAAATAACCAATGTAATGGTTATGTAGACCTATTAACCTGAATACATAGTTTATATTCAATTACATGGCCAAGTCGTTCATGGAAATCGTATCAGCTTGTTCTCAGCCAGTTTGGCCTTGAGCAGCAGGCCTCCACCACAGAAGCCAGAGGCAGTCAAATTACACCAAGTCATTTCTAAAAGGAGACTGTACTGTGTTTCCTTGTTGGAGATGCTGAGCAAATGGATGTGACAATGCTATTATTACATATTAAAGACAAGTTAATAAACTGTGAAGGACTCTTCATTTTAAAGACCAAATCAATATTTCTTGTATTTCCAGTGGAAACAAATCTTTAAATGATATATTGTTTTGTACATGCAATGATTAACCTTAGATCAATCTTTAGGTTTTAGCGAGCAAAGCATTTTTAATTAAGGCTTTCCCTCTCAGCCCTTTTTGACATTCCTCTCTGTTATACTCCATTATTATGAGTCAGTAGTTTAATATTGCAATAAAAGTTTCCATAATTAGCTATATGAGACCAACATTCATTAAAAGCTTCTGTTTTTGCTGTCTGAATTATCTCCATTTTAATGATAATTGTAAGTAATGACAAAGTTGTGATTTGTTGTCTCATCAAGAAAAATCCCCCAGGGCTCTGACTTTTTTATGTCTTGCTGCAGTTAGAAACTATTTCAAAAGCATCTAATTCATCTGAATAATCATCCGCCTCGGAGTTTGATCTGCTCCATTGCAGCGCTATGAACCTTGGTTAAGCATTTAATGTCGATTGAACTGTGCAGAGTAAGTTTAATGACATTTCCTCGGGGACAGATAGTGACAGAATGAAGTTGCTTAGTGTAGCCCTTTTTGGAAGAACATTCAGACAACGATGCGGGACAAGTCAAGTCCTGTTTATAGGGTGTTCTGCTGTCTCTTAACACATGAATGTTCATCCACAGAAAATTACCAGCTGTACGTCCCTGAATCGGCTCAAGTAGGAAAACCGGTGGGTAAGATCAAAGCCACTGATGAGGACCTTGGCGTCAATGCAGACATCAAGTACAGCATCATTAACTCCGAAGGGGCCAACACGTTCTCCATCTCCACGGAGAGGGACACGAGAGAGGGGATCATAAGCCTCAAAAAGGTAGGCTGTCTACAAAACAAAAATGTGTGCTTTCAGAGACCACAGAGTGTGCTAGGCCTCCTAAGGGTGCCCCGAACCAGGCTGAAAACCAAGGGTGACTGTCCTTTGAGGCGGTGGCCCAAAGGCTCTGGAGCAAACTCCCCCAGAAAATAAAAACCTCTGCCTCAATAGAGATTTTTAAGGGGCAGTTAAAGACCCACCTCTTCCGACAGGCCTTTGGGTCGTCGGAGGAGGTGAGTTAGTAGCTGTCTTTTACTGGTATGTTTTATCCTATGTATTACCTGCTGTTGTTTTATGCCTTTTATTCTACATGTTATAGTTGTACTGTGAATTGTGTACTGTACTGTAAAGCTTTGTACATCCGTGTTGAGAAGGGTGCTATATAAATAAAGTTTTACTTACTTACTTACTTGCTAACAGCTGATAGAAGTAATGCACCTTAAAGATCACCTATTATGCAAAATCAACTTCTTCATGTCTTGTATACATAAACATGTGTGTAAACAGATTCTGAACATTTCAGAAAAAAGATTCTCTGTCTTTTTGTCCTGATCCATTCATAGAAAAACCTGTCTTTAAATGAGCTGATCAGATTTTGGCCACTTTATGATGTCATAACGATTTTTTGGCTTGTGTAACCCAGTGTTAATTTCGTCAACGAAAACTATGACGAAAAACGTTCGTCAACGACCTTTTTTACATGACGAGACGATGACGAGCTAAGACAGATTCTTGATAACGAAAACTATGACGAAATGTATATTGAGTTTTCGTTGACGAGACGGGACTAAGGTGTTAATGGTGGANAAAAATAATAATAATTGACTGGCTGTTCTGGGTGTTTTTCTTCAAGCTTATATTCAATCTATCTGGGCTGTATTAGAGTGAAGAAAATCAACAAACTATCAAGCTTTTTGGTTAAGCATGTTTACAGAGTTCTAAAATAGATTTTAATAAGAGCACATGAGCAGGACGAAGACTTCGTAAGGGAAAGGTTTTCCTGTGACAGAATAAAAAGGAAAACATGTAGTAGTGCATTCTTGTATCCAAAATAATTAAATCCAAAGTTCAACTTAAACTGAAACAAACAGGTCAAAATACACTTCCACTGCTGAGCTGAACCGAGGTCACGTAAAAGTGTTATGTCTCCCACACAACATCACTGATCTGTATACACCGTTTGTTTTTACACCACATTTATGCTAGCCTTGGTCAATATGATAGTAGGTCCAATAAAAAGGTAGTTTACTTCAATTGCATAGTCACTTCACTTTATGAACATGAAAAAAAAGCAAGCCAATCAAAACCAATTCATTTGTTGTTTAAAAGCTTTCCAGGAAACACGTTATATCAGTGCAAGTCAGCATGTTGTTCTTTATTTTTTCCTGTTATCGCCTTTGTGTTCATTTAGTGGGTTTACTGTAGACTCCAGTACATGAACAACAACTAGAAGGGACCCATTATATACACACAAGTAATATCAAACTGCCTTTTTTTAAAATTACAAATTATGATGATCATTTTCGAATGGATTATTCAGTCAGAAAATCGTGAAAAAAAATACATGACCTCCCACAGCCCAATGTACGTCCTAAGAAGTATCCGAGTGTCCTAAGCCTAAAAGTAATTGGTTAAATACGAAATTATGATAAATTAAAGTAAAACAGCTTTTAAATATACTGCCCCCACAGCTTGGAACAACGTTCAGAAGGAGCTTTGACTCTCAGATTTAGTCACTATGGGGGAATTTAGGTCCATCTTAAAAAGGCCAGAGAACACGACACCATTGGTAGATGTGAGTGCTCGTATATCCTAAAATCGTTTTAAATGTTGCCAGTTTTTAATGATTTTTAATAGTTTTTTTTACTTCGCATATTGACTGGCTAATGTGCCATGTCTGCCTGTGTTTTATCTGTTGTAACTTCGTACATGCTGCCCTTCTTGGCCAGGTCACTCCTAGAAAACAGATTTTAATCTCAATGAGTCTTTTGCCTGGTTAAATAAAGGATATATATGTTATTAAAACCTCATGTTTGAACCAGCAAATGACTGACATTGTTTAAAAAAAAAAAGAATAAACCGATAACTCAACTATCATAATACACTTTTTTTCTTTTCAGCATTTTCCGCTGGTGGACTTCACTGTTGGCAGTTTGTTGCAGCTTTATAAATAACTAAAGTCACTCACAGTAGTTCTGCTTATTATTTATTATTCACCATTCACAGGTCAATCCATCTGGCTGAACGTGACTATATTCCCACTTCTGCTCAAAATGAAGCCTAGAAAAACAACAACATTGGATGACCTCAGGGAATTAGAACTCCATCAAAACAACAACAACAACCAGTGCTACAAAAACAACAACAACATCCTCTGTGAGGCACGCAGCAATTACCACACCACCCCCCTCCCTGTCAAGCCTCACAGCTAGAGGGCTGTTTACAGTAAACACAAACAGTAATCAAAATCGCAGAGACATATAAATAATGAATATAAAAAGCATACAGAGCCTGTTTATGAAAACAGAACTTGAGATTCGTATTTTAATTAAGGTCTGAATCACAAACAAACATGTCTCTCCCAGGCAGGCTCTGTTTTGAATGGGGTAAACAAACTGACAGTGAATTTCACAGGCTTTGCGCTTACAATAACAGACGACTGCCTCCTACTTTGTCCTTTCTTATGAAATGCAATGCTCCAGAGGTGGCCCGACAAAGCAGTGAAAACAGGTCTATCCCACAAAGAGAGCCAGCTGGCCCCCTCTATTTTTCTGTGGACACCATCAACACAACAACAGCCTCTGCCTAATCTCTGTTGCCATGGTAGCCAGCAAGTCCAAACATCTTCTGTTGTTGTTATTGTTGAAAGTCATACCAGTGAGCAACTGAGTGTAAACACGGATCTGTTCCTGCAAGACTGGTCTTGTGAACTCTGAGATGACTGACAGCAAACGGGAACGCTACAAACTCACTGAAAGACAAACTCAATCGGTGCAACACAACAGATGTGGGCCAAAAAAAAATGGATATATTCAGTAATAAACTCAACTGAAAATGAAGGGATCTAAAAATATGTAATTACAAAATACAAGCTCGTTTTCATTGACAAACACAGATTACACAGAAGCTTCGAAATGAAATAATAAAACATGATTAAATAAATGAGTTTGACCAACCTGATAGTCTCCATTGAAAAGTCTGTCTTTCTCCTCAGCAGTAATGTTCTGCCTGTCTAGCTCCACTAACCTACATGATGTGCGCAACAAAACTAATAATATGACACTGATCCCTCCGCCCAGCAGGAGCAGGCTCCCCCCAGATAGACGGCTCCCCCGCCCACCCACCCCCCGCCCCCCGCCTCCCAGGCCTCAGAAAACCCTCCCCATCCCCCTGCTCCTCTCTTAGCGGAAATATAAAACACTGCAGTTGCGAGAACCTGAGAAACTCACAGTGAAATGTTCAAGGTTGCAATGTTTACAACCAAAACACCCCGTATTCTCAAAAACGGACAAGAGCAGATATCTTTGATAATACCCAGAAGTCCAGAATTCCATTACGTATATTTAAATGTAGATAATAACTAATGGGGAGGAGAACACTTTAGTGAAGTAAAGAAGGATCCGTTGCGAATAGTTGTTTTTGAGAACAAAACATCCCTTCTCTGCAGCCGTATGGCGTGATACAAAGTCAAAGAACTGCACTCAACTGGAGAATAAAGCTTTTTCTGGAAAACAACAGCATTGCTTCAGGACCTGCACTACTAAAATATTCATTTATGTATGAATCAGCACACTGATAAAAAGTTTATGGCTCACTTTAGAATCAAACAGTTAGAAATCTAAGACTTGAGCTATCCGAGATCTGAGCACACAAACGTGTTCCTTTTCGTTAAATGCCAACACACATTTGTTGGAACCTAGATTTATTCAACAAAATGTCAATCATATGCCTATAGTGAATGGTTATTGTTTCCACTGCATTGAGAGCACAATCTCACAACAATGTAAGAAAAGGATGCACAATTAAAAATATGTTCACTTATTGATTCATCTACAAATAGTTCTTGCTTAATATCCATCATATAATATTTTCACATCACAAAGTCCATTGCTTAAGGTCTCTTTGAACATCTTCAAACTACTGGGTTTGTCTCCAACAGTCCCAGAGGGCAAAGATATCCTTGTTTTAACTATCATGTTAGACATAAAAAAAA